CTTCAAGAATCATTTTTCCTTACAGCAACAATTAGCTCTCTCTGAAAATCAATTAAAAAGGCTAGACGAAGGTATTTGGCAACTTTCCAAGCTAAAAAAATTGGACCTCTCTTCAAATTCTTTGGAAGGAACAATCACAGAAGAACATCTCTCAAACTTAGACAACTTAGAATACCTAGATTTGTCCTACAATTCCCTAGCTTTGAACACGAGATCTGATTGGACTCCTCCATTTCAATTGAGTTCACTGTACCTCAGATTTTGCAATGTGGGACCTGATTTTCCAAAATGGCTTCAAACTCAGGAAAGTCTTTCTGTCCTTGATATGTCTTTTGCTAATATATCAGATACATTACCTACTTGGTTTTGGAGTTTGACTTCTTTGTCAAGCTTAAATCTCTCTTATAACCACATTGGCGGAGAAATTCCTGGTCAATCCTCAAGCGATGTTGGTTTATCTTCACCTGTAGATTTAAGTAACAACAATTTTTCTGGTCCAATTCCAATATTTCTTTTTCGTTCAATAGATATACGACTATCCAGAAATATGTTTTCGGGATCCATTTCTCACTTCTGCACATTGTCCACTCATTTTACCGCCACGGTCCTTGATCTCTCAGATAACCAATTGACAGGAGAGCTTCCCGATTGCTGGATCTTCACAGGCTTTTTAGAACTTCTCAATTTGGCAAATAATAAGTTCTCAGGTGAAATCCCCCCAAGTTTGGGCTCGCTGTTTCGACTAAAGATGTTACATTTGCGAAATAATAATTTAATTGGCGAACTACCTTCCTCTTTGAAGAACTGCAGAGAGTTGCGCATGCTTGATGTGGGAGGAAACAAGTTAACAGGTACTATTCCACAATGGATAGGAACTGACGTAGCAAATTTGAAAGTTCTTAGCCTTCGATTTAATAAATTTCATGGAAACATACATCCTAGAATTTGCCACCTTGCCGATATTCAAATCTTGGACTTTTCAAGGAATAATATATCGGGGAAAATTCCCGATTGTTTCAACAATTTCACTTCTCTTGTTCAAAAGGGTAATTCAACTGAAAGCACTAGATTTTATTTATATCCCATTTCCGGAAATCACTTTGAGCGTGTACCTTACATTGATACTTATGCTGACAATGTTTTGGTTCACTGGAAAGGACGAGAGTCTGAATATAGAAAACTAGGAATTTTGAAAGGGATTGATCTTTCTAGCAATAAGTTAGTTGGAACTATACCTCATCACTTTTCTGACATGAGGGGTTTAGTTTTCTTGAACTTATCAAGAAACCATTTGACGGGAAGTATCATATCAAGCATTGGTCAAATGGAGATGTTGGAATGGCTTGACTTGTCTAGAAATGAGCTTTCTGGGAAGATCCCGAACAGCCTTGCTGAATTACATTTCCTCAGCGTTTTGGACTTATCATACAATAATTTAACGGGAATGATTCCATTAGGCACTCAACTACAGAGCTTCCACCCCTCAACGTATGCTGGGAATAGCCAACTCTGTGGGCTTCCTCTGGCGAAGTGTCCTAGTGATCATGGACATGGCGGAAAGGGAAACAACATTGAAGAAGAAGAAGATGATGAGTTTATAAGTCGAGATTTTTATATTTGCATGGTATTTGGTTTCATTACTGGATTCTGGGCAGTTCTTGTTACTCTGTTTCTCAAGCATTCATGGTGACATTCCTTTTTCAACTTTTGGCACAACATTGAAGATTGGATGTACGTGACAACAATGGTCTATATGGCAAGATTCAAGAGAAAATTTCTGGCCTAGCCTGATGGTAAAATATTATTTATGCACATTACATTAATATTCAAAAGTTAATATCCTAATCTCATTTTGTTCGTTGCTGAAACCAGGTGTCTCTTCTCTTCTGGGAAACAGCAACAGTGTTAACTGTTTGAGGAACCAATTGGTGGTTGGCTACGGGACTGTTCTCTTTGTGTTTCAGTTTTCAAATTCGAGTTTTGAATTCATTTTGTGTTTTGTGTTTTGAGTGTCTGTTTTGAAATTACTGAAAACGCTTTCTTTTTGTGATTCTTAAAAACTGTTTCTGAAAACATAAAAATGGAAAACGCGTTTACTTTGACATTTTGACAATATTTTTTTATAATATTTTATTC